CACTCAACACTCAACCCACTGAGCCACCCAGCTGCTTCTGTCCATGCATTTTAATAGGGAAACCTTACTTCCCTCAAAAATCAGTTTGAGATGGATCGTATGCCTAAACATACAATAAAACCTCTACATCTTTTTTTTTTTTTAAGATTTTATTTATTTATTCATGAGAGACACAGAGAGAGAGAGAGCGAGAGAGAGAAGCAGGCTCCCAAGGAGCAGGGAGCCCAATGCGGGACTCGATCCCAGGACTCTGGGACCATGACCTGAGCCGAAGGCAGACGCCCAACCATCTGAGCCACCCAGGCGCCCTCTACATCTTTTTTTAAAATCTGTCTTAAAGTTTTTTGTTTTTAAGATTTACTTGCTTATGTGTTAAAGTTTTAAAACGTAGGTGAGTATCTTCATGACCTTGGGGTTGGCAACGATTTCTTAGCCAGAACATAAAAAGCACTACCCATAAAAGGCATAGGCACAAACCCATGGACCCAGCAATGGCTCCTGACCAGGAAGAAGAGCAAGCCCCACAAGCCCAGGAGCTGGGGACCAGGGAGGCACAGCAGGGACTCCCCAGTACAGTCTCTGAGCTCTAGGCCCAGAGAATTATTTGGAGATCAACACTGGAGTCCACAAATCCTAATTCTGAATTGTGCAACCTGTCCCCTGACAGTTACCTAACTTTGTTTTCAGCTCCCTTCACCCAGTTCTTCGATTCTGAAAGCCTTCTGGATTATTCACTAAAGCTGCCTTCCAGATGTCTTGTGGAGCAGGCATCAGGGCTGGGCAGCAGAGGGATTTCACACATTCTATGTGGCACATAGTGGGAGTCACAGGGAGGCCTATACCAGCTCCAGCTCCATACAAGGAAAACTTTTGAACTGTTAAAAATAACCAGTACAGAAATGCATGGCTTCTGGAAGGAGTAAGCTTCCCATTATCAGAGGTATACAAGCACTGTTCTGTAGAGGCATGAGCTCAAGAAATGGTGGCTTTTTATTATTTATTATTTATTTTTTATTATGATTAATTTAGGGTGGTTTTTTTTTTTAAGTTTATTTTTAGTAATCTCTACATCTAATGTGGGGCCTGAGCTCATGACTGCTAGATCAAGAGATACATCCTCTTCTGACTGAGCCACCCAGGTGCCCCTAATTTAGGGGTTTTAAGCCTTAGAGCAGTCAGAGGGAAAGGCATAGATGAGAGAAGGAAGTGAACAGAAGCAAGCAACCATGATGGGCTCCAATAAAGTATTCTCTTTTTAAACTGAAATAAGAGGTGCCTGGCTGGCTCAGCTGGTAGAGCATATGTCTTTCAATCTCAGGGTTGTGAGTTCAGGCCCCACATTGGACATGGAGCCTACTTAGTAAATAAACACACAAACTGAAATGAAAGTGGACAATTCTTTGAGGCCTTATTGGACAAGAAAGGACAGGAGGGTTCCTCTTCAGCTGGGCATCAGATTTATCCCTCAAAAACCTACCTGTGAAAAGCAACTAGGTGTCCAAATTCAGGGTCCATGAATAGGTATTTGTAATATCTCCATTTTTGCTAAGAGGATTGGGGGCTCAGAGAGGTTAAGTAATTTGCCCAAGGTCACGCTGCAACTGGGTGACCAAGGGAACATTGGCAAAACCAATTGTAAAACCCTAAAAGTACTTAAAAACTAAGGCCCATCTAGTTCAGTGGTTCTCAAACTTTGCCTGAAGAACTTGCTAAGCCTAAACTGCTTGGGTGGGTCTTAGTAACTTGCATTTTAACAAAATAGCTCCGGAGATGCAGGGGCAGGTATGACTTTGGTGGTGGTTAAGCCCCAGATTCCGAAGACTCACCAACTGGGTTTAATGTCCTACTTACTGGTTTTCTGCACATTTCCATGTGTAAATGTGTAAATGTAAATGGTGTGTGCTGTAAAATGGTGATATTAATACCATGCGTCGTTGTAAGAAATTCCAGAGTTGAATATAATATATTCAATATAATAAAAGCTCCCCCTGCTTGTGTGCACTCTCTCTAGATTTAAAAAAAAGATTTTATTTATTTATTTGAGAGAGAGGGAGTGGGAGCACAAGCGGGCAGGGTGGAAGGCAGAGGAAGAAGCAGACTCCCCACTGAACAGGGATCCTGATGTGGGCCTCCATCCCAGGATCCTGGGATCATGACCTGAGCCAAAGGCAGACGCTTAACCCACTGAGCCCCCCAGACTCCCCAGATAAGTACTACTTAAGTGTCAATTTTTTTTCACCCTATGTTATGGGAAGCTTGCTATTGTCTCCAAAGACATCTTTGTTCAGCCCTGGGCCGTGCCCACTAGCCCCAGGGATGGGGCGGGTTGCAGCAGCCCTTTCAGTTGGATCTCTATACACTCAAGCACAGAATTGACTGAAAAATTCTATTTGGGTTTTTTGGATATAAACCCCCAAAGCCTGAGAGCACACCTCCCTGGCCACTAGAGGGAGCCGTATATGGTGTTTGGAGGCACTGCGGGGATGGGCAGCTGGGGTTCCAAAACTAACTCTCCAATGGTTAGTTTGGGATGGAGTTGGTGCATCTCAGGTCCCAGCTGTTTCTAGCAAGGGTGGGGAAAAGTTACTAACCATAGGCCCTTTCCAGGCTCTAGGGCCAAGGGCTGGAAGCAGGAATTGCTCAGATGCCTCCCCTCCAAGTCTGGATAATATTTTTATTTTTTCTGCTCGGTGCATATGGTAGGATTCAAAGCGCAGAGAATTAGAAGGAGGGGGGGAGGGGCATGATGGAGGAGTTGGAGAAAGGAAACTTGGCTTCTTCCCAGCCCCAAAGCCCCCTGCTGAGCTGCTACTCCCAGATCCCATTGTTTCCTCTAAATCAGCAAATCTCTCCTTCCAGCTTCCAGCCTCTTCCCCTTTCAGACCTGGCCTCCCTCAGGCCCCATCAGCTTCCAAATGTTGTGTATACCCACTTCTGTCTGAGCAAGGATTCCTCAGACCCAAGCACATTTCATTATCTTATTCATTGAACATGCTCCTTTTGGGAGTTTCCGGTGTGTCTAACCCCATGAGAGTCCATGGGGGTGTTGGAGAAGTGATTTAAAAGGATACGAATTTTGATCTCAGGGTGCTCATCAGCTGGGGTGGGGGACATGGACAAACAGGTCAATACATAAATAAAGTAGGTGATTTCAGATACTGTAGTAATCAGAACTACAAAAGAAATAAAATAGGGTGAGGTGATAGAACGTGAAACGGGGGACACTTTAGACAGAAAGGGAAGGTCTCTCTTTAGAGATGGTTTTTGAACACAGTTGGTTAAGTAGAAAGAGTAATAAGTAGTACAAAGGCCATCCAAGAAACAAGCCCAGTGAGGGGAGATTTCAAATTCCAATTTTCCTAAGTGTTCATGAAAACTCCCAGAATGGCCTCTGAGGAATCCCAGAGACTTTGGGGAGGAAGGGGCCTTCGGGTTTATCCCATAATGTGGGGGGTGGGGGGGTGGAGGGGCGCTCTCTAGTGGTGACAAGAGTTAAATTTCACCATCGCTGACCTGGAATGCCTCCTGCTTGTGATTTGACTGGGCTAATTATGAGCTTCACTCATTCCTGTCTCTCCCACACTTATTCATTCAACAGATGCTTACTGAACGCTGCCTATGTGCCAAGAGCTATTCTAGATACTGGTAGAGTTTTGAAACCGACGGTAAATGTCCCTGCCCCCTGGAGCTCACATCCTAAGGAACAGTCTTAAGCCTAGGACTCTAACCCCACCTCACCTCTGCCCTTCACTATTCCCCAGCTAAATCGCCATCCTAATGCTCCAGCAGCCAGATATTGCTCTTCAGGGTCTCTGCACTTACTGTTCCCTTCTCCGGGAAGGCAGGTTCCTGGCTCTTTGCATCGCTGCTTCAGGTCTCATCTCAAATGGACCAAGTTAGAAAAGCATAAACTTATTTATTGCTTATTGTCCCCACTAAAATATAAGAGACCATGAAGGTTACCATTTTCCCGGAATCCCTTAGCCTCGCACTTAATTAATAGACGCTCAGTAAACACTTGCTGAATGGGTTTGAGCATTCATTCATTCAAAAAAATATTGGGTGCAAGCTGGGCTATTTACAGCAGACTCTGATGAACCATTAAATGAACAAATTGAACAAAACAGACAAAAAAAAATCCCCGCCCAGAGCATTCTAAAATTAAAATTACAACCCCCACGGGGCGCCTGGGTGGCCCAGGAGGTCAGGCATCTGACTCTTGGTTTCCACAGGGTAGTGAACTCAGGGTCGTGAGATCATGTCCCCTATCAGGGTCCATGCTCAGCTCAGCTGAGTCCCCTTGGGACTCTCTCCTTCTGCCCCTCCCCCCCACGCTCGCGCTCTCTCAAATAAATAATCTTTACAAATTGCAACCCCTGCACTACTCACCCCCTTTACCCGGCTTTATTTTTTCTATACATTTATCACCTAGACTATTATAATTTACTCCTTGGTGTTTGTGTGCCTCCCCTCTCGAATGTAAGCTCCGTCTAAGGCAGGGGATTTTGTCCTGGAGATCCTGATCACCACGCCCCCCTCAAAGATCAGAACAGTGTTGGCATCAGGTAGTTGCTCAGTAAGTAGACTGAACGAACTCTGGATCTCAGCCTGCTTTTTCCCCCCAGACCTTGAGCCACATAGATCCAAGGGGGAATGGGCCTCAGGAGGCACCAAGAGGTGACCTCAGGCGGCCCGACCAAGGAGTCCGAGCTCCGGTCGAAGGGCCATCGGAGCAGCTGAGGAGATGGGAGGCGCGGACAGCAAGAGCGCCGCGAGGCCCGAAGGCCCTAGAGAGCTTCCAGGAAGAGGCGCGAGCGTTCAGAGAGCCTCGCCAGAGACGGTGGGCGGTGCCGTCCGAGGATACGAGTCACATGACTCGCTCCTGCACCGCCCACCTCCTCGTGGGCGGGGTGTCAGGAATGGACCCGGGGCGTATGCTAATCAACCCGAGGCGGTGGCCAATCGTAGCGCGCGCCGAGCCAGGGCCAGGGATCTTGGACGCTGGCTAGCGCGCAGGCTCGCATCGGGGCTGCCCCGGGCTTTTGCAAGCGGCGCGGCGGGCCTGCGAGCCGGTGCAGCAGCCGCTTCGTCGACCTCCTTTCTCGTTGTCGGCGGCCGGCCGGGTCAGGGCGCGCGGGGAGCAGGCGGCGGCTGCCTCAGGCGGAGGCGGAGGTGCGGCGGAGGGTGGGGGCCGCTGCCTTCGCAGGAGCCCGGGCCGGCCCGCGCCTTTGCATCGTGCTCCATGCATCCGGAGCCCGCCCCGCCCCCGAACAGCAACAGCCCCGAGCTTCCCCTCACCGGCGGCAGCACCACCAGCGGCAGCCGCCGGAGCCGCCGCCGCAGCGGGGACGGAGAGCCCCCGGGGTCGCCGCCACCGCCAGCCGCCGTTACCTACCCGGACTGGATCGGTCAGAGTTACTCCGAGGTGATGAGCCTCAACGAGCACTCGATGCAGGCGCTGTCCTGGCGCAAGCTCTACTTGAGCCGCGCCAAGCTCAAAGCCTCCAGCCGGACCTCTGCTCTGCTCTCCGGCTTCGCCATGGTGAGCTCGGGCTGCCCTACCCTGCCCCCTCTCCAGTCCTGGACGCTCCCGCCCGCAGCCCCGACGGGGCCCACAGGGAGCAGGCCAGGCGGGCCGGGCGAGCTGGGGGTGCGGGGAAGATCTGGGAGAAAGGTGTCGTGGACGCTGAAGGGGGCCGAGGTACTGGACCCGAGGAGAGGTGGGCGACAAGCGACATCTGGTGTGGGAGATTGGGTGTTAGACAAATGTCCAGGGTTGGGGGGCTCAGGTGCCTTCAGATGGGCAACTTTGATGCAGCAAGTGGAGAGAAACAGCAGGATCTTTGAAGTAGATCTGTAAGAAGACAGCCCCACATATGTTCAGGGGCAAAGGAAGGACATAAAGGGTCTCATCTCCGTGGGAGCAGGTGTCAGGAGGTGGGGAGGAGGAGTCGACCCCTGAGCTGTCTTTCTTCTGACTCCACACTTGAGGCCAAAAGGTATTGGGCATGTCCTTTTATCACCTAGTAGAGGGGATTTCCTGACACTTTCTCCCACTGCATTTTCCGAGAGCCTCACCCTAGGGTTTTGACAACCACTCTCCACCCTCAGTTTCTTCTCCAGAAACTTGCACTGAGTCACGGGGTGTGGGGGAGGGGGTGGGACATGTTCCCCTTGAGTGGGCTTTCAACTGATGGGGGGGGGCAGACATCGTTTCCTCTTCCCATGCCAGGCTGGGCTGGAGTGAGAAACAGGCCTCTGAGGGGTGGCGTTCGTGAAGCTGCAGGTTGGGCGGAGAATTGCTCCTAAGGGTGCCTTCAGGCCTGGAGTGTTCCCCAGTAGGCCCTGCAGAACAATTCATGATGATCACTGTGTGACACCAGCGTGTGTGAGGGGTCTGCCCTCCTCTCCCAAGGTTTCTAGCCCAGAGCGCTCATGCCTCCCCAGTGAGTGAGCTAAGCCCTTGGCCTTGAGGGAGGGAGTGGCTGCACCCTCGTGTTTTCTTGGGAGTGTGTCTGGTACTCTCCCTGTGTTCTACAAACAAGTGGGCCAGTGCAGCCTGAACTTCTTAGAAGGCCTGAGCGGGCCCAGAGCACACTGGGCCTCAGTGAAAAAGCCAAGTGATGGGAGTTGGGGAAGAAGAGCTCTCCTAGCTCTCCCCTTGCAGCCTGTGTGACCTCATGCATTTCTCTCTGGATCTTGATTTCTGAATCAGTACATGAAGGCTGCTGCTTAGAAGTATCTCTGACTTTAAGAATTAAATTGAGGGGGCGCCTGGGTGGCTCAGATGGTTAAGCGTCTGCCTTTGGCTCAGGTCATGATCCCAGGGTCCTGGGATCAAGTCCCACATCGGGCTCCCTGCTCCTTGGGAGCCTGCTTCTCCGTCTGCCTCTTTCTCTGTCTCATGAATAAATAAATAAAATCTTAAAAAAAAAAAAATTAAATCGAGGAAGCCCTTGAGAGGGGATGAGAGAATCTGTGTTTGTGTAAAGGAGTGGCACACTAGTTTTTGGTTTAGATCATATGGTGGAATTCTGTTCTGTCAGTCCCAAACCCTTGAGACTAGTCTCTGCCTTTACCTGAAGACTCTCTAAGACTAGCTGACCGTTTACCAATCACTCACCCTGTACTAAGCATTGTTGAGGTCCCCTAAACTTTCACACTAACTCCTCAAGCACCCTTTGAGGTGGTTTTGCCACAGGACCTTCCCAAGGCCATACAGCTAGTCTGCTAGAGCAGGATTTGAACCTGAGTCTGCTGGCAGCCAGAATTGTCTTGGGCACTTAGGCCTTTTGTGGCGTATGGAGTTCTGCTCAGTGTCCAGCCAGGGACATGTTCGGACCACGTCTCCTAGGAAATAAGAGAGCAGGAAAGCTAAGCAAAATAAAATGTTAGTTTAGGGGCAGGGAGTGACACCATTAGCTTTTCACAGCTGTGCTCGGGGTTGAAGATGGTGGCACACCTGTTCCCCTTTTTCTTGGGGTCATCAATTCATAGCTGCCCAGGCCCCTTCCCACTCCAGGAGAAGTGAGGATCTGATGGGTGGCACTTTCCTGCCCTCTGGAGTTGTCTTTGTCCTCGAGAAGCCAGCCTCCTAATCAGATGGCACCTTCCCCTTCCTCCTGCTAAAAACTGCAGGAAGTCAGGAAGCGGGGGTAGGCAGTGGCATTGGGTGGGCCTTGGCTCACCCAGAGTGTATCTTGGGGACGTTTATTTTCCCTGGCCAGGGTGGAGAAGGCTTCCTGGCTCAGCAGATGAACTCCCCAAAGTTCCTCTGGCAGGGAGGGGCTGAATCCCATCACAGCCTCCATTCTGGGGAAGCAGTTGTAAGAGGGTAGCTGTGTTTGCTGTGAGTCTGTAAATCTGTGGGAGAAAGGGAGTTGGGGGGGACAGACAGATCCGAGAGGCAGGCAGGTCTGCCTGTGCGCCACCCCCCACGACAGACACCCAGCCTGGCGAGTGAGCCTCTGAGAGGAAGGGGTGCCACACGACCCAGCACCGTGGAAACAGAGTGAGCGAGTTTCCTGGACTACTCTCCCTTGGCCAGTGAGTCAGCACAACCAACTTCCTGCCCCCAGAGGGCTTCCTTCCTAGAGACCTGGAAAACCAGAGACGCACTGATGTGACCTCTGATCTCTAACAGTGGGAGAGTTGGCAAGGCTGCCAGTCTCACCTGTTCAGCAGGTGAGATTGAGGGAGGGTCTCCCAAGAGCCTGGAGGGATTGAGAGACTCCCCTGGCTCGTGGGTGAAAAGGCCTGGCCAGGTGCCCTGATGTGCTGGCAAGATAGGCTGTGGGATCTCAGATGAGCGGCTCTCTGCTCTGGAGCCAGTTTTCTCATGTGGACAAAGGGGAGACACATCCACATATCCCGCTGTGCCATGGACTTGCGTGAGGATTCATTATGAGTCCCAGTTGGGCCCACAAGAGGTAGAGGAATTTTCAGGATCTGATCATACACACCTTAGCGGGACCCTCTAGTCTGCAGACAAGAGTCCCACTCCTGATGGCATTTCTAGAAACAACAGGCCTTTGCTGGGCTCAGCATCCAGACTCCAAAACCAGGGGCCCTTGATGTAGCATATGGTTAGCATCCTGCAGGTGCTTCTTGAGCCATAGGTACCCTCGTGGGCTATGACTCGGGTCATCTATGCTTCAGTTTATCTCCATGAGAGGCAGCCCCCTCAGCCCGACCCTGTGTTGTGCAGGACCATGGTGAGCCCACTGGCAGTCTTGGTTTGCTGGAGAGGGCAGGCTGTAACATTAGCCTAAGTAGAAGATAATTGGGAAGGTCAGCCTGCTGCTGTAAACAAAATGCTTTCCACGACCTGGGATCAATTATTTTTGGATTATCTGCCTCCTCAAGTTCTCCGCCCGCCAGCACCGTTTTGTTCCCAGGTTCCAGAGCGGCTTCAGAAGTTGCTTGGAATTTCTGTGAAAATTAGTTGGAGGGAATAGCTGAAATCATAAGACATTGAGCCTCTGGGATATGTTCAGAGTTCAGGGGCATGGAGATGAGTGAGAAATTACTGTTTCTACTCACAGGGCTAATTACGAATAGTAATCATTGCTTTTGTTGCTTGGGCTCTTGTCATAGGCCAGACATTGTGCTAAGTGTTTTTACTTGTACCGTCTCTTGTGATCTTCACACAGCCTGGTGAGGGAAGGTGCTTGTCCCAGCTGAAAAACTTGCCCGAAGTTACTTGGCTGGTGAGCTTCAGAGCCCTTGACCCTCGTGTGGCCCCATTAGCTGTGGAAGTGGACTTATCAGAGTGGGAGGAGAGAGCTGGGAGGCTCCTCTATGAGCAAAGAACAAGGACTGAAGCCAGACAACTTGAGTTCAAATTCCGGCTCTACCGCTTAAAACCCCAAGATCCTGGGAAAGTTATTTAATGTCTCTGGGCCTTGGGGCTTCCTTCCCTGTAAAATGGGGATAATAGTAGTACCTACCTCATAGGCTTGGTGTGAGGATTCATTGAGTTAATATTTGCAAAGCACTTAGAATGTACCTGGCCCGGGTTTTCAGGAATCTAGCTCACCCTTGTTCTCATGGGACTGCTTTAAAAGGTTAACTCATTTAGATTCCAGCCAAACCTTGAGGTGGTAGAGTTAGGGCTTGAGGAAGAGCCCTCTGATCAGAGGAAGGATTGGGAACAAAGTTATTTTTTTTTAAGATTTTTATTTATTTATTGAGAGAGAGAATGGTAGAGAGAGAGCATGAGAGGGAGGAAGGTCAGAGGGAGAAGCAGACTCCCTGCCGAGCAGGGAGCCCGATGCGGGACTCGATCCCGGGACTCCAGGATCATGACCTGAGCCGAAGGCAGTCGCTTAACCAACTGAGCCACCCAGGCACCTGGGAACAAAGTTATAAAGATGAGAAATTTAGGGTCTCAGGGAGAGGCAGCAGGACTGGTGTGGCTGGAGTTGAGGGTGTGTAAGGAGTAGATGAGAAAGGTGAATGTGGTCAGGGAAGATGTTACAGGGAGGGCCTTCTGACTTTCACAAGTCTGAATTCTTACGTAGGCAGTAAGGAGCCCTGCAAGGTTTTAAAGGGGAAGAGTTACTTGATGAATTCTAGAATAATCTTGATGATGTTGATGATGTTACTCTTTACTAACTTCGAGGCATGAGCCTGGACCCTTTTCTTTCATTCTTATTTAATCCTTAGTTCAACTCTTAAAGATATGTACTATAGATAGAAAAACTAAGGTTTAGGGCAACCTGGGTGGCTTAGTTGGTTAAGCATCTAACTTCAGCTCAGGTCTTGATGGGGGACCGGGGTGGGAGGGGTGTTCTCTGCTCAGTGAGGAGTCGGCTTCTCCCTCTCTCTCTGCCCCTCCTCCTGCTCGTGCTCTCTCTGTCTCTCTTTCAAATAAATTAATAAAATCTAAAAACAAAAACAAAAGCTAAGGGGTGCCTGGGTGGTGCAGTCGGTTGAGCATCTGTCTTCAGCTCGGGTCATGATCCCGGGGTCCTGGGATTGAGACCCGAGTCGGGCTCCCTGCTCATTGGCGTCTGCTTCTCTGTCTCCCTCTCCCTGCCACTCCCCCCTTATGTTCTCTCTCTTCCTCTCTGTCAAATAAATAAGATCTTTAAAACAAAACAAAACAAAAGCCCAAAGCTAAAAAAACCTAAGTCTCATAGAAACATAGAGGTTAAGCTACCCAGCTAGTAGAATTCAAGAACTGGTAGGTCTGACTTGGAACCATTTCTACTTAACCGCCCTCTGGCTGCTGTAGCTGGTTGATAGCTGGGCTTTTGAATCCTTCCAGATGTGGGGTTTTGCACTCCATGCTGTTTATAAATGGAAATTTGTCGAATGTCCCAAGGGGAAGGAGCTCCCTGCCTAGCTGAGAAGCCTTTTGTAAAACTTCGCAAGTGCCTGTCATGAATTTCTGGAATTTTCAGCTGGGAACCCTGTTGAGTTCTGTTGGTTGTTGGGTTCAGGGCTGGCAAAGGAAAACTCTAGGGTTTCTCAAGGAGGCATGATGGAAATCAGTGTTTGGAGTTGGGGTGGGGTCCCTTGGAGAAGTAAAACTGAGAAGGGTGTAAACAAAAGCCACCAGGTTTCTCTCTAATGGGACTTCAGGGTAGCCTTTCATAAATGTTTTTTTAATTTTTGTAAAGATTTTATTTATTTATTTGACAGAGACACAGTGAGAGAGGGAACACAAGCAGGGGGAGTGGGAGAGGGAGAAGCAGGCTTCCTGCTGAGCAGGGAGCCCGATGTGGGGCTCCAGCCTAGGACCCTGGGATCTTGACCTGAGCCAAAGGCAGACGCCTAACGACCGAGCCACCTAGGTGCCCCAAATCTAATTTTATTTTATTTTTAATCTCTGCACCCAACTTGGGGCTCGAACCCACAACTCTGAGATCAAGAGTCCTACATTCCACCGACTGAGCCATCCAGGCACCCCTTGGGTAGCCTTAGTATACTCCCCAGAAGGACTGTCACAGACTGGTAGGACCACAGACTCTTTTCTTCAGAGGAGGATCTTGGACTGTGATTTGGCAGCCAGCCCTCTTTGGTTTTTGAGCATTGGTCTAACCCAGAAATCAGCCAACTTTTTCTCTAAAGGGCCAGATAGTAAATATTTTCAGGTTTACAAGCCACACAGTCTTGGTGGTAAACTACTCAACTCTGCCGTTTAATTTTTTTTTTTTTTAAGATTTTATTTATTTGTCAGAGAGGGAGAGAGCGAGAGAGCACAAGCAAGGGGAGTGGCAGGCTCCCTGCTGAGCAAGGAGCCCGCTTCTTGCTCAATCCCAGGCCCCTGGGATCATGACCTGAGCCGAAGGCAGACACTTAACCGACTGAGCCACCCAGGCATCCTTCAGTTCTGCCATTTTAGCTGGAAAACAGCCACAGAGGATAGGGAAATGAATGGGTTCGGTTGCGTGTCAATAAAACTTTATTTACAAAAACTGCAGTCTAGAGGCCACGGTTTGCCAACCCCTGGTCTAAGCAGCATCCAAATTTTTGAGCGCATACCCCTCAAAAAAAAATGTTAGTCGTGGGCTCAGTATCGGTATCCTTATGAATGAGATATGCCTTAATATGATACGTATATTACAAACACATAAAAATACAAAATTAAAAAGTTGAAAGGAAGAGCTAAATAGTAAATGAATGTCATTGGAAGTTCTGATGCAGTCTTCCGGATGGATTGCTGAGGATGGTCCACCAGAGATGTCAGAGACATGGGGCTGAAATAACCTGAAGGTCGGGTCTTACCTTCATTTATTTCTTCCAGTGATGTTTTGACCCCTAGAGGGACAAGCCCCAGTGCTGAATGCTGGGGAAACAGAGGGAAATAAGAGTAGAGTGGGGGAAACAAGTCATGTGATTCCGTCTTTAGGACGTGTTTGGTGAGTGCGGTTGGTGGGGGAGCGTGGATGGAAGGACACTTATCACAGTCTGAAAATACTCATTTGCCTAAATGTTCAGGGCCTGCCATCCTCCCTGGGGCCGGGATTTTGCCTTCCTACTTCCCGTGTTCTCTCCAGCGGAGCCTCAAGATGCTTCAAGCACATAGTAAGCTCTCAATACCTATTTCCCACCAATGGGTGAGTGGTCCCGGCCTCACCTGGGAGGCCCCAGAATGGGGATGACTTGAAAGGTAAAACCTGAGGACGCTGGAATTAGAAAGCCTAGGCCTGTCCTCCCCAGAACCTGCAGGTTCAAACTGTTTGGCTTATGAGGTAAATTTGGTGACTTGCAACCAGCATTTTTTTTTTTTTTTTTTTTTTTTTTTTAATAAGAACGGAACAAAAGAGCAGCGTGCATTGCTTGTAAGGATAGGCTCTATCAGCGTCCTTTAAGGAGAAGTATTGTTTGGGGAAACTTTTGTTTCTGTTATAAATGTTTATCTATTTGTAGAATATTTGGAGTACTGGACTGTAGTGGTCAAAAGAGTTTGTAAAAAGAAAAAAAAAAGAGTTTGTAAGCCACTAGACTAGGCCTCGATCATCTCTTAATAGATGGTTTGCATTTGAGGTAGGGCCGGCAGGCTCAGACAGCTCCGGGTGACCCTGGGTGACTGCTCGGCGGCCCTTGTGTTCCAGGCCACGGCCACTCACCCTCCTAAGAGAGTGAGCAGTGAAGCCCAGGCTTAGAAAAGGGACAGTTGGATCTCCCAACTGTGGCCGCTGGGGTTGGGCCAGGCATGGGAGGGCTGCCTCCGAAGGGCCTGGACTTCCAGGCGCCAGGTGGCAGGGGTCTCCATGGAGCCGAGCAGGACTGAGGAGAGGTGGTTGGTATTGGGGTGTAGCAGGCAAATGCCTGGCAAAGCCAGCCAGGCCTCACCCTGTGCAGAATCACGTGGTCCTCTTCTTGGCTCATGTTTAAAACTTGGCATCCTAGTGGCTCCTGTGCAGGGTCCGTGGACCAGCGTGCGGTGGGGCTGGCAGTCTCTCATCCTTCCTGTCCCTTTAGGCCTCATGTGGCCAGGTTCAAGCAGGCCCTTGGCTGGCTGGGAGCTGTTTATTTTGGGTTAACGGGCCCAGCACTCTGGCTATATTTACCTTGCGAAGCTGCTTGCAATCTGATCTGATCCGATCTCTCTGGGACTCAGCTGGGGCCCTGGGAGTTGCCTGCCAGATTCCACAAGGCCCCCTTGACTTTACTCTCCCAACCGGGGGCGGGGGGGATTTCCCAAGAGGGAAGCATTCTGGAAAAAACAGTGACTCGTATTCCCGTGAATGGTTTTTACCAGGATCCAAGACGCGTGCCATCTGTTCGTTCTCCACGTTATACCTTTCCGCAGCCCCATGGTGCTGAACTTGGTCCCCAGTGTGGCAACAGTACATACAGCCGGCCGGTATGGTCAAAGTCCCAGGAATTATCGGGGCTGGTGGTGAGGGTGATGGGGTTTCTTCCAGAGCTTGGCAGCCGGGCCTTTCCTCTTCTTTGGAGTGCCCAGTATTTCAGGCTTTGCTGGGCCCAGCCTTTCCCCAGCTTAAGACCTTAGGGAAGGCTGGCGGGTTCTGGTGTCCCCAGGCTGGGTATGTGCCAGTAGCTATGACTTCTGGTCCTGGATCCTGTGACTGTGACACATGGTATGGAGAAGATGGTCTCTGTCCTGCCGAGGTAGCCATGTGGCCCAGTGTGGTTTGGGGCACACTTTCTCCTTATGCCCCAGGTTTGGAGCTGGGGCAGACCAGGCCCAGAGTGGGGATCCAACCTCGTCACCCACCCCAGAGGGCAGAACCTTGGCTCATGGGGTCCATACTCTCCAGCCTGAGCTGACCGTGTCCAGGGGTTATTCTTCTTTTATTTCTTTTTTTAAATTTTATTTATTTAATCAATTTCTACACCCAACGTGGGCCTCGAACACATGACCCCGAGGTCAAGAGCTGCATTTCTACCACCTGAGCTGGCCCAGAGCCCAGGGGGGCTCTTTCTCTTCTGCTTCAAGCCCCCTGCTTTTCTTTTCAACTAAAATTGATTGAGCACCTCCTGTGGTCTGGCTCTGTGTTAAATGCTTACATGTCAAGACCTCATCCATCAGTCTCCTCAGTGACTGTCTTTGTCTGGGCTGCTGTAACAGGCGGACAGACTGGGTGGCTTATAAACAGCAGACATTTATTTCCTCACACTTCTGAAGGCTGGAAGTCCAAGATCAAGGTGTCAGCAGATTCAGAATCTGTTGAGGGACTGGCTTCCTGACTCAGAGCTGCTGTCTACTCACTGTGCCCTCCCATCCCAGGAGGGGCAAGGGGTTCTCCAGGCTCTCTTTTTTAAGGGCACCAATCCTGCTTGGAGGGCTCCACCCTCACGTCCTCACCACCTCCCAGAGGCCCCACCTCCTAGGACCATCACGTTGGGGGTTAGGATTTCAAGGTGTGAATTTAGAGGGAACATAAACATTCGATCTGTAGCAGCATCCATGCGGGAAAAGCACTCCTATCATCCCTGGGCTTTAGAGCCAAGTGGACTTGAGTTCAGAGCTCCCACTTAGTAGCAGTTCTTACAGCCTCTGGGACAGCTGACCTCACCTCTCTGAGACTGTTTCCTCATTTGTAAAAGAATAATAATGACGTTGCTCATAATCATTGACACTCTATTAAGCTCACTATATGCCAGGTCCTGTTCTAAGGGCTTTATATTCTTTAGCTCATTGAATGCTTGCAACAACCATAAATAGGCCCTTATTTTATAGATGTGGTACAGAGAGGTTGAAATACCTGTCCAGGGTCACCCAGCAGCTTTGTTAAGTGGAGGAACCGATTCATTCTTCCCGGCTACATAGAGGGGGAGACATCATCTGTTCTGTAAGGAAACAGAGTAGTTACCTGTGTATGTCCCCCCCCCAAGTGCTCAGCTCAGGGCCTGATGTACCTAATGGGTGTGGACATTTCCAGTGAGTGAATAAATTTAGCCAGGGGACCTGGGGCGGCCAAGCAGTGGGCTCTCCTGCTTGTCCCTTCTCTGGTTTCAGGTTCTGGGGCAACAGGCCAAAACAGGAAGAGGAAGTGCTGGGGCGGGGTGGGGAGGTGGTAGCAGGAGGCGCGCATTGCTGGAGGGTGCCCCCCTTTTCCAGCATGGGCAGCAGGCCTGGTGACAGAGACCAGGGGGTCTTGGGATGTGTCCCTTAACTCAATGTGCCCTGGTGGCCTGCCCTCACCCGTGTGTACTAAGAAGTCTCAGGATTGGCATTAGGCCACCAGTGGTCTTATTTATTTTTTGTTTTGTTTTTTAAGATTTTATTTATTTATTTGACAGAGAGAGACAGCGAGAGAGGGAACACAAAACAGGCGGAGTGGGAGAGGGAGAAGCAGGCTTCCCGCGGAGCAGGGAGCCCAATGTGGGGCTCGATCCCAGGACTCTGGGATCAGGACCTGAGCCAAAGGCAGACACTTAACCAATTGAGCCACCCAGGCATCCCAACACCAGTGATCTTAAAAAAAGAGTTGAAATCCTTTTTTTTTTTTAAAGAATACATTTTTTTAAATTAATTTATTTATTTATTTGAGAGAGTGAGAATGAGAGAGAGAGCACATGAGAGGGGGGAGGGTCAGAGGGAGAAGCAGACTCCCCGCCGAGCAGGGAGCCCGACATGGGACTCGATCCCGGGACTCCAGGATCATGACCTGAGCCAAAGGCAGTTACTTAACCAACTGAGCCACCCAGACACCCAAGAGTTGAAATCCTGATGGCACTGCCCCAGGTTTATAGGAGTTGGAAAACTCCTGGGCTGAACTGTTCATATGGTCATCCGTTGTGGCAAGTGTAGGGCAAGAGTCTGAATCTCGTTGAAATTGTCTGAAAAGTCCTGTGAATATATATATATATATATATACATATATATATATATATATACCTGGATGTTCTAAGGAGGGTATCCATTATTTTCACCAGATCTCAAAGGTGTCAGACCCCACATCAGCTCTACCCTGTGACCTTCATCTCGCCATGTGCCCTCCTTTTACAGATAAGAGGGGAGGGTTTCGACTAAGGTCAAACAAGGGAGCAGGGGTGGTTCTGGAACCAGGACTCAGGCCCCCAGTTTGGCCTTGCTGTTCTGTCATTCCAAGCGTACCTCTCCAGCAGGAGGGTAGAAACCACAGATTCCATGTAGAGGTAGTAGGTTTGGAGATGAGGTTTCTAAGCTGAAAAATAATAATAAAGCTCCCTTTTATTGAGTGTTTACTCTGTGCCAGGCTCTAAGTATTTTACATGGACCTAAGTATCTTACAAACAACTTAGTCCTCACAACAATCCTCTGATCATGTACCGTTATTCCCATTTTACAGATAAGGAAACCGAGGCCCAGAAAGTTGAAGGAGCTTGCCAGAGTCATGTAGCCGAAGAAAGGGCAGAGGAGGCAAGGTTCAAAGCCAGGCAGCGTGGCTCTAGAGCCCGTGCTCCCAACCACTGGCCCACACTGCCTTTCCAGGCCAAAGGAAGGGTACAGGGAGGTACAAGAAATGAAAGCAAACAGGACCAGGCATTCAGGCAGAAGGAGAGCTAGTGGGGAAAGAAAGAGCCCAGCCCTTCCCCAAGAATAAGGAGGGGTCGGACGCCTGGGTGGCTCGGTTGGTTAAGCGACTGCCTTCGGCTCAGGTCATGATCCTGGAGTCCCGGGATCGAGTCCCACATCGGGCTCCCTGCTCAGCGGGGAGTCTGCTTCTCCCTCTGACCCTCTTCCCTCTCGTGCTCTCTATCTCTCATTCTCTCTCTCTCAAATAAATAAATAAAATCTTAAAAAAAAAAAAAAGAATAAGGAGGGGTCAGGGTAGGCTGGTATGGGGCGAGGGGATACATCTCAGTATAGGACACCCCCCTCCCCCCCGCCGAGCCTGGTACATACATAGCAAACACTTTATGAAGGGTCACTATGCTTAATGGTATTGTCATTGGCGCTTGCTGGCCCAGTCCCTCCAGCCCGGGCAGGCAGACCCTGGCAGTGTGCCCACTGCCCGCAGTTCCCGGCCCAGATCTGATGAGCCGGCTCCTTCACATGGGGGTGATCTGCAAGGGCCCAGGTGAGAAGCATCAGGTGGCAGGCCCAGAATGTGCCCCTGATGACCCTGGGTCCACAGGTCTCCAGGAACTGGGAAGCAGCTAGTGCGTCAGCTGTGGGGCCCGGAGCGGAAGTTAGGGGGGCTGGGGGAGGAGATGGCCCCAGGGCTTGCCAGCCACACTGTAACAACACTGGGCTCTGTGTCTTCTAGGAAGCTTCAGCGTTCCTTGTTGGTTGGTGCACTATGTTCTCAGAAAGGGCCTGGGCCTGACCTGGGAGGGCCTTCATCTCTCTACCCCACCCCTCTCCTTGTCCCTGGAGCAGGGCATGAAGGAGAAGCCTGTGTTCGGGAACAGATGTGGGGCCAGCAGAGAGAGTGGTTAGTGGTTGCTTGCTGCTGCTTCTTTTTTTTTTTAATGAAACGGTATCATAGTAAAATATACATCAGACTTACCATCTTAACTGTGTGTGGTGGTTGGTTTTTAATACCTGGCTGGGTGTTAGGAGCAGTGGTGACTATTTGGGAGATGTTTACCATGTACCAGGGACTCACTCTCACTTAACCGTTGAAATAATCCTAGGAACTACTGTGATATCTTGCTTTTACAAATAAAGAAGTTGAGGCTCAAGAGAGCTCAGTGATTTTCCCACGGACATGTGGCTAGCAAGTAGCAGAACTGGGATTCAGGGCGCCTGGGTGGCTCAGTTGGTTAAGCGACTGCCTTCGGCTCAGGTCATGATCCTGGAGTCCCGGGATCGAGTCCCGCATCGGGCTCCCTGCTCAGCAGGGAGTCTGCTTCTCCCTCTGACCCTCTTCCCTCTCGTGCTCTCTATCTCTCATTCTCTCTCTCTCAAATAAATAAAATCTTTTAAAAAAAAAGGAACTGGGATTCAAATCCAGGCGGCCTGGACTCCAAACCTGCTATTCACTAGTACTCTCTCAACCCTGAGTGAGTGGGTCCTGTTATCCCCACTATATAGATAGGGAAACTGAGGCTCAGAGAGGCCAGGTGACTTGCCCAGGGTCCGGGAGCTTGACGGGGAGCCAGGATTTGAGTGCGGCTCTATGGGCCGTGACGGTCCTGGCGCTCAGCCCGCCTCTCCCCTACCCCCTAGGTGGCGATGGTGGAGGTGCAGCTGGACGCCGACCATGACTACCCACCGGGGCTGCTCATCGCCTTCAGCGCCTGCACCACAGTGCTAGTGGCCGTGCACCTGTTTGCGCTCATGATCAGCACCTGCATCCTGCCCAACATCGAGGCGGTGAGCAACGTGCACAACCTCAACTCAGTCAAGGAGTCGCCCCATGAGCGCATGCACCGCCACATCGAGCTAGCCTGGGCCTTCTCCACCGTCATCGGCACGTTGCTCTTCCTGGCCGAGGTTGTGCTGCTCTGCTGGGTCAAGTTCTTGCCCCTCAAGAAGCAGCCGGGGCAGCCCCGGCCCACCAGCAAGCCCACGGCTGGCGGCGCGGTGGCCAGCGTCAATGGCAGCACAGGTGGCATCACCCCCGGCCAGGCTGCCGCCATCGCCTCCACTACCATCATGGTCCCCTTTGGCCTGGTCTTCATTGTCTTTGCTGTCCACTTCTACCGCTCACTGGTCAGCCATAAGACGGACCGACAGTTCCAGGAGCTCAACGAGCTGGCCGAGTTTGCCCGCCTGCAGGACCAGCTGGACCACAGAGGGGATCACCCCCTGACACCCGCCAGCCACTACGCGTGAGCCCTTCTGGGCTCGGGCACGTCAGATCTCTGGCCTCACGCCACTCCCCACGACCTCGCCCTGCACCGGCCTCAAGGACAGCCAGCTCAGAGGATCGGGCTTTTGTAAGGGGGCGGAGAGTGGGGGAAGAGGCTTTTTTTTTTTTTCTTTTTAAGAGAAACGACTGCACTTTGAAACTTTCCTCGGAGAGAATGAGCACTTCCTCTTCTTCCAGCTTCGGGGTCACCTCCTGGTAGGAGGCCACCAGTGGGAGCCAGAGTGGGGACAAACGCTCCCTTTGTCCCTCCTCCTCCCTGTGTCCGTGCCACTTGGATGCTTCTTGTCTTTTCTGTCTTGACCTCCCTCCCCGTTCAGTGTCATGTGTGTGTGTGTGTGTGTGTGTGTGTGCGCGCATGCACATAAATATACTCATAAGGGATACCTCTTGTGTGTGTATTTGTTGGGTCTGGACTGCCTGGTATTATTTCTCCTGGTGCCCCAATCAGGTGAGCCTCTAAGCAAAAAAAAATTTTTAACATTTGATTTTGAAAAATTTCAAACCTACAAAAAAGTTGCACAAATAGTAACTGAAATACATAGACAGTCTATTCTTGTCATTCACAGTGGTTGTGTTCTAGGAATTAGTGGATATCGAACCACTGCTCCTGTGGGGTTAGGTTCCTATGAGCCTTTGGTCATGATATTCTGCCAGGCATTCAGTAGGTAATCTTGTTTTATGTGTTTCTGTCTGTTTCTGTTTTGTTTTAATTTTTAAGTAATCTCCGCACACAGCGTGGGGCTCAGACTCACAACCCCGAGATCAAGAGTTGTGTGCTCTACCAACTGAGCCAGTCAGGCACCCCATGTGCGTTTCTATTTAAAGATGCCTTATTTAATACACATTGTTGATTCATGAGCAATGAACTCACTTGTGGCTAACAGCACAATAACCTGTACCTAAATGAAGCTTTTCCAAGAGGCATTTTCTCTGTAAGGCACATCACTGCCTTCTTTTTAAAGATTTTATTTTTTTAAAAGTAATCTCTACACCCAACATGGGGCTTGAACTCACAACCCTGAGACTAAGAGTCGCACGCTCCACCAACTGAGCCAGCCAGGTGCCCCACTGCCTTCTTTTTAAATAGCAAAATCACTGGAGCGCCTGGCTGGCTCAGTTGGTGGAGCGTGCGACTCTTGGTCTCAGAGTCATGTAGTTCAAGCCCCATGTTGGGCATGGAGCCTCCTTAAAATAAAAATTAAAAACAAATTTTAAAAATGGTAAAATCACCAACAAAAAGCACCAAATGTGAAAAGCGTGGCCCTAAATGGTAAAAGGACACTTGTTTAGGAAGGCTGAGACAAGAAGGCAGAGTGGCGCCTGTTTGAACTAGCAAGTAGGAGATTGGCAGATACTGAAGCTGTGAATGAGGAGGATGAGCTGTGTGTTTCTCTCCCGAGCCCACATCTCTTAGTTGCAGATACCTTCCTTCATGTGTAAATACTTCCTCCTAAAACCAAGGATGTTCTTCTCCCTAACCTTAATTCACTGATCAGATTCAGGAAATTTGACATTGATGCAGTACTATTTAATGGGACGTTCGTGTTCAGTTTTCCACTTGTCCAGATCATGTCCTTTCTAGCCATGATTTTTCCTTTCAGGCTCATGTGTTGCAGTCACTTGTCACATCTCTTTGGTTGCTTTAAATTTGGAGCAGCCTTTTCTTGTCCTTTCTAACATTGACATTTTTGGAGTCCAGGCCTGTGGTTTTGTAGAATGCTACCTCAATCTGGTTTCCCCCATACTTTCCCGCAGTTACGATCAGGATGTGTGTCTTGGCAGGAATATTTATCTCTGTTTTGCAGATGGCAGAAATTGTTGCCCAAAGAGGTTAAGTGATTGGCCAGAATTCTAACCTGGAGAGTCTGGCTCAGAGCCCAGCTCTGACAAAAATCTTATATGCTGATTTTGTCTTTGCTTAAGAAATTGGGAGATCCAGCAGTAGCACTGGTCCCACTTTCTCACAGAGCAACAGTGAGAAGGCGTGGAGTTACAGCCACCCCCTTCCCCAGGCCCCAGGAGATGTGTTTGCCACAGTCCCCACCACTCCCTCTTGTCTCACACCAGGCCAGCTTTGTTTATGTTACTTGCCTGGCCCCCCATGGTCCCAGAAACACAATACAGAACGTGGTTTTATAAAAACAAAGTCCTCTGACTGAAGTGAAAGTTGATTGGGGAAAAGTGTGGCCTTAAGTTCTTGTCCTGTGCAAACCTGGACATGCTAATAGCAGCTGTGCGGGCTGAGTGGGGCAGAGGGCCTTCCTTTTTTTTCCTATTGTAGCTTCTTGCCTCCATCTTGCATCACACACACCAGGACCCACCCTCCCCGGTCCCTGGACAGCCCCCTAACTAGGACTGAATAGTGGGGAGCAGGGGCCCCTGTGTGAAACTCTCCATTGCTCCCTAGAGAAGACCTAGCCATCTTCCATGCATTCCCCTCCCCCACCCCCTCCCTGCTTCTGCAGGGACCTGGGAGCTGGCTGCAATAATACCCGGCCCATGACTCTGGTGTTAGGTGTTCCTTCCTAAACTTGCCCCAAGTCAAGAATCACCAGATTGGCTTGTAAAATGTAGATTTCCAAGCCTTTCCCCTGGAAAGTTGGTCTGGGTAGATCTAGAATCTGTATTTTTTGGGGGCGGGGAGGACCAGAGGGAGAGGGAGAGAGACTCTTAAGCAGGCTCCATGTCCAGCACAGAGCCCAACATGGGGCTCAGTCTCACGACCCTGAGATCATGACCTGAGCCAAAATCAAAAGTTGGATGCTAAAAAAAAAAAAAAAAAAAAAAAGTTGGATGCTCACCCGACTGAGCCACCCAGGCACCCCTAGAATCTGTATTTTTAACACCCCGGGTGCTCAAACCCAGGCAGCTCAGGGAAACGCCGGTGAAGGACAGTCTCATTTCAGTTTTCTTTGTATTTCAGACACAAATACATTCACAGGTTCCAAATACAACGGTGAAAAGTCGCCCGCCCTCCCCTGTTCCCAGGTTCCTGGTTCTCTCCAGTGACATCCATTGTTGCCAGTGTGTTGTGTCCCCATCTAGAGAGATTTCATGCATAAACCAGAACACGCCCTACTTTTTCGGGGGTGGGGGGAGAAAAAAGGTAGCCTTCTCTATGCTCTGTCACTTTAAGAGCAGATAGATCTAAGTGTAAGTACAGTTACTTTCTAGCTTTGTGACTTGTGAGCCTCCCTGAAGCTGCTTCCTCCTCTAAAATGGCAATCATAATAGCAGGCACCCACAGAAGTTGTTGTAGGGTCATGTGGTGGGGGGGGTGGGGAGGAGACAGATGAAGCTGTCAGCACAGGGCCTGGCTTCCGAGTGAACGTTCTGTGTCCCCTGAGTGTGCCAGGCTCAGCTTCCTGGTGTGAGAGGTCTAGACAGAACCATACCTTTGGGTTAGGCCACCCCCTGCTTAGGATTTCGAAGGCAGACAGGAAATAGTGTTTATGGAGACTTTACTGTGTGCCAGGCACTTGCTGAGGCCTTAGTGAACATCATGGAATTACAGGATTACGCTTCGGTCATTGGGCTGAAAAGTTCTATTGTTGAGTGTTCACATTATAGTGTGTTTAGCAGGATCCTCAACTGCTACCCACTAGTTGCCAGTAATATTTTTCCCTGCCAGTGTGACAGCCAGAAATGTCTCTGGACATCGCCAAATGTCCCCAGGGAGGGAGGGGAGACAAAATCACTCTTGGATTAGGAACATGCCTTATTTCATCCTCATGTTAACCAAATAACCTGGGTGGCAAGGACCATGATTGCCCCGTATTTGAGGGGAGGAGACCTAGAGAACAGAGAGGTTGGGTGCCCTATCCAAGAACACACAGCTCCTAAATCACTGCTGGGATTCACATCCAGGCAGTCTGACTGCTGAGCTCATGTTCCTACCCATTATATAAGAATCCCTTTTATCTTGAAGAATGTTGTCTAGAATAATGCAAAGCTCTTCCCAGATCTCTGCTTCACAACCTCAATACATGTTATTTGTTCTTATTACATCTGTTAGCAAATCCTGAAAAACACCCCTGTGAGATCTCCTAAGTGCCGTTTTACAGGCGGGGCAACTGAGGTCACTTGCTTAGGGTCACAAAGCCAGTAATTCAGGGATTCTGGGCCCAGTTGCACATTAGAATCGTCTGGGGAACTTTCCGAAGGCCCAGGCCTCACCCCAGACAGACGAGAGTCTGGGCGTGAGGCCTAGGTGTCCGTAGCTTTTAAAGCTCACACAGGATCCCAAGGTTGAGCACTCCTGTGTTGGGCTGAGAAGCCAGGTCGGCTCTCAACCCCAAATCTCAGTGGCCAGTGTGACGAGACACAGGCTCTTCTTTCTCCCCCAGAGTAAATCCATGCAGCCTGCGGGGACGTCTTCCCTCTTCACCTAAAGACCCTCCCAGAGCTGCACCCCCTCTGTCCCAATCACACACCACGAGCCTGGGGCCGATGCCACCAGGTTCTCCTTTATACTCTTGCTCTCAGGAATGATGACCAAGAATGAAGACTGTAACAAGAGGGTCCCCAAAGTCAGCTGGGGAGAGAATAATCCAGTGCTGGGAAGAGTGAGGTGCCCTCAGAGGGTGCCAAGGGTGTGCCCCGAGTCACCACTCAGCTCCTGCAGAAGCCACACCGGTTTGAGCAGTTGGGTGACGGGCCTGAATTTCTCCGGAAGCTCTGGGGTGCCCTCTGCGGGGGCAAGGGGCTGGTGAGAGCCGGCGACTCCAAGATGCCATACCAATGCCCTCTCCTCAAACCCCCTGACACCCACACCAGGAGGGGCTGGGACAGATGAGCAAGTGCAGGCCTGGGGCAAACCACCTTACTCAAGGGCATTCAGGAGCAAACTGGTCTTCAAGGAAATGAGTTTTGAAGGGAAGGAACCAAGAAGAACCAGACCAGCTGGATTGCAGGAAGCAAGAAACCCACCCTCTGCTCCTGCCCCCGAGTTCCTTGACCAAAGGAGAACCCAGGAGCTGCCTCAACCACATCGGAGGCTGGAGAGCATGCCCACCCCTCACCTGGCATCAATCTTCCTCTGTCTTCTTGAACATGGCCAAGGCTTCCTCTAGCACGCCATCAGGGTCTAGAATTTTGATCTGGAGGGAAGCAGTAAGGGGTTGGATTGAGGAGCATGGAAGGCCCGGGCTGCCAGCCTTTGGGGTGCTGCCTACTTTGGAGGTGCTGTCTGCCTTGTGGGCTGCTGCCAGTCTCCATGGGGATGCCCTGACTGAAAACAAAACCTGTCTGTTCCCTGGCTGGGCTGGGCTGGGCTGGGCTGGGCCTGGCCAGGCTGGATGTGGCTGCGGGGGTGCCGTGTTCTGTCTCTCTGGTGTGGCCACAGGGCTCTGCTGGGTGCTGCCCACCTTAGGAATGGGGAACTGGGTGGGCTCAGGGGCCTCATCGCGTCCAAAGTCGATCATTGTGCCACACTTGGCCACGTCGTCCACCCAGAAGCCTTCAAACAGCTGACCGTGGTCCAGGTGGAAAAAACGGCCCGACCCATTCTTCATGCCTCTCCGCCAGCAGCCCTCGTAGCGGTTCCCGTTCTCTGGGGGAAAGGACAGGGTCACGTGGGTGCTGGGCACACCTAACCAGACCAGACTACCAGGCTGGCCCCTCCACACGCCCAGGTTGGACACTGTGCCCACGGGGAAGCCAAAAGGAAACCCAGCTGACCAGAGTGCCCCGGGGCTGGGCTGCCTGCGGTCTGGGAGGACTGACCTATACACATCAGAGCCCCGGGGTGGGCTGGGGGCTGGGGTGGGGGTGTCAGTGACTTCCAGAATCAGACCTGGTCCACCTCTCGCCTCCAATACTTACCTGAACTTGGATGAACAACATCATTTCCTGTTTGTAAAAAAATCATAGCTAATGATATGAATAGGCAATGTTTTTAAAGCACTCACTCTGTGCCTGGTTCTTTGCTGTTTCTGACCTCACTCGCTCCTCCCAAAAACAGTTCTATGAAGGATAACCGACTCCATTTTTTACAGATGGAGCTTGAAAAGCTCAGGGAGTCTGACTGACTTGCTCAAGATCACAGAGCTAGGACGTGGCAGAGACCAGATTGGAAGCCAAGGTCTGTTCATCCCAGGAGCCCATGCTCTTAATCATGAATTCACTCTCCTGCTTGGCTGCTGCTGGTGGTGGCATAAAAGGAATACTAATAAAGCTAATGCTTCTCAGCTCAGACCCTTACAGCCACGTGATCTTGGGCAAGTCACTTAATTATTTTGTCTCATTTTCTCATTTGTAAAATGGGGATAACAGAAGCACCTACCTCATAGAATTGTTGTGGAGATTAAATAAGTCGATACACAGAAAGGACTTAGAAGAGTACTGGATAAACTCTAGATGAGAGGTCAGCAAACTTTTTCTGTAAGGGGTCAGACAGTATTTTCGGCTTTGTGGGGCACAGGGTCTCTGTTACAACTCTGCCATTGTGGCGTGAAAGCAGCCATGGACAATATGTAAATGAATGAGCAAGTCTGGTGTGCCAATAAAACTTTACTTACAAAAACGTGTGTTGAACTGGATTTGGATTTGGTCTAAGGATCGTAGTCTGATGACACCTGCTACATACAAGTATGAGCTAATAATATATTGAGCACTTATTATTATGTGTCAGGCACCATGCTCAGCACTTTATAAACCTCATTTAACCTTCTCAATAACTCTAGTTAAGTTGTATTTTTATCCTTAATTTACAGATGAGAAAACCAAAGCACAGAGAGTTTAAGCAAATTGCCTGAAGGTCACGTAGCTAGTAAGAGCTTGATCCAGGATTTGAACCCAGGCAGGCTGGCTCCAGAGTCAGGCCACTAGAAATTATACACTTGGAGCCCTCACTACTATGTGTGGCCACAGTAGGTGCTCACTAAGTGCAGGCTGTTACTAGTAGATGCTCACTGAAAGCAAGCACAGAGCTGGGTGCATGGGGGATTGAGAATGACAGACGGAAATGGCTGTCAACCCTCCTCAGCTGACCTAATGCCTCAGTTTGGCCAAATCTCATTGGAAATTGGAGTCTTGAGTTTTCAGGAGACCGAGCTCAGGTTTGTGTCCTCACCAAGAGCACCGACTATGTGCCAGACACTGGGAAAACAACAGGGAACAAAATAGATGTGCAGTCTAGGTCACAGTCTGGAGAGACAATGACACTAGCTTTATAAATAGCCTACTATGTGCCAGACCCTGTTCATAGTAGTACCACTTTGTAGGTACTACTATTATTCCCATTTTACAGGTGAGGTAACAGGCACGGAGAGGAGGAAACCTGCCCAAGATTATATGCTAAAAAGGAAAGGAAACAGATGCTGAGGATAATGAGAACGTGCATTAGTGGAATGAACAGGGAAGGCCTCTCTGAGGAGGACACAGTGCCTCTGCACTGAAGATCTGAAGGATCTTCTTTCTATTGCAGGAAGAGAGAACAGCAGTGCAAGGGCCCTGAGGCAAAAAGTGTGGGAGGAACTGAAAGAAAATGAGTAAGGCTGAAACCAAGGGTTTCCCAAGGGACACGGGTGAGAGGCACTACTCCACAGTACGGGCTCCGAACTCGGAGGGTAGGAGGGAGCTATGGGAAGGTTGAGAGCGGGTTAGTGATAGGGTCCTATCTGTAAAAAGCTCAGGCTGGTTGCTATGTAGAGAATGGATTAAGTCCTGACGCTAAGGCGGTTTACTCAGGACTCTGCTCTGCCTAGGAATGTTCTTCCCTAGCTCAGTGCGTATCAAACTCCTCTTCCTTCAGGTCTTCTGTTCAAATGTCACCTCTTCAGGGAGACTTTCTCTGACCCTAAGTCTGTCTAAATAGCCCCTGTCCCCAACTCCTTTGTCATTCTCCAACACACCTTACCATTTTAAAGGGATAGTGCTTAGCACTTTTTTAAAAAAAGATACAGTGAGAGAGAGCACAGGCAGGGGGAACGGCAGGCAGTGGGAAAGGGAGAAGCAGATTCCCCGCTGAGCGGGGAGCCTGCCGTGGGCCTCCATCCAGGACCCTGGGATCACGACCTGAACCGAAGGCAGACGCCCAACCAACCGAGCCACCCAGGCGCCCCGGTCCTAAGCACTTTTGACCTCACAACAAACAAGCTGTGTTGACCTTGAGCGAGTGACTTAACCTCTCTGTGCCTCAGTTCATTTTTACATAAAGTGAGGATGGTCAGAATACCATCTTAGAGAACTGTAGTGAGGATTAAATGAGCTCAGTGCTGTGTAAGTGTAGGCTAGAATTATTATGACCATAAGAAAATGTCTTAATTGTTGATGTGTCTAGTTAGGCTCCCCCTTTAGTACAGAAACCCCAGGCGGGCCGGTATCTGGTCCTGTCATTCACCTTAACCGGAGCGGAGCTGGAGTGGGGCTGGGCGGGGCTGGGGGCGGGGAGTGGGCGTAGCCACGCAGGGCCAACCGGGGGCTGCCCGAGGGCGTGGCCAGGAGGCCATGGGGCGGGGCTGGCTGGGGCGGGGCGGGGCACTTACTCTGACGCAACATGCCCTCCCCATGCGGCTTGTTGTTCAACCACTGGCCCTCGTAGATGTCGCCGTTGCTGTAGTACATGCGGCCCCATCCGCTTCGCTGGTTGCCACACCACTCACCCTCGTAATACTCCTTGGGTCCGAAAAACTGAATCCCATAGCCCTGAAAGCACGAAGGTGTTCCTATTCACGGCGCCCCCAACCACGAGGAAAGCCACTCCTATCTTCCCTGACACCCAAGCCACACACTTGGACTACTTCCTTGCTTCCTCCCTCAGCCCTACATCCCAAACTGATGGTCCTGCATTGAAAAAGCTGCCCAGGCTCTCCGCCCCCCTCCACCCCTCTGCTACCACCTTCGTGCAGCCCACCACCATTTCTCCCCTCCTCACGGGTCCTCCTCCTCCACTCTCCCATTCTCCCCTCCGCACGCATCTTCCGTGAAGCAGCTAGAAGGATCTTTACGTCGCTCATCTGATCACGTCTGCCCCTTTTCCTCAGCTCTGATTTGACCCTCTAAAAGTCACAGATGCCTCTGAGAATCAGATCAAAGTTATGGACTTTCTCCCCAGAAAAATGAACACCACCGCTCAGTGTCCAACCACAGAGAATCATGGACTCCCGGCAGATCACACCTTAAGGAAGTTGGGTTAAGCAGCCCAAGTTTACTCTTCAAAATCCTGATTCTCCACGAAACTTTCAAGGCCCCCATCTACCCCTCCCCTCACTCCCACCCCCGTGGGCACACACACCTTGCTGTTTGACATATTCTTTGCTACTTCTGACTACTTTGCTACTTCCCCTTCTCCTTTTTTCCCTCCCTGGTTAACTCTTTGTACCTTTTGGTATTACTTCCTACAGGAAGCCTGCCCTGAATTCTCAATATTCCTGTGGGCTCCCTGGGGAAATCTCTATCCTAACACCATATTGTATGCAAATTGTTTATTTTGGGAACCTCTCTCCCCACTGGCCAATAAACAGTTTGAGCACAGAGATCACAAAATCCTGAGCTCTACCACTCGCCAGCAGTGTGTGACCTTAAGCAAGGCACTTCACCTCTCCAGGCTTGTTTCCTTATCAGTAAAATGAGAATGGTGATGATGATGACTTTGTGAGTTGGTTGAAGCACCGTATGCCACATTCTGGAGATACGGGGAGGGTTCGGGCATTTCTCGGTTCTGGCTGGCTTCTACCTCCAGGACCTTCCTCTCTTGTCCTATGGCCAAGGGTGTAGCCTCTGCTTCCTTGCTCCCACTTTTCCTACCCCTCTCTTGTGCCGGTCCAACAGAAGGGCGATTCTCAGAGAGGAATGACCAGGGAGAAGAAAGCCAGGAAATGAGTGGGGCAGACGGGGAGGAGACTTGGCCCCCACACAGCCTGGCTGGTTTCTTGTGCCACAGGGCTTCTTGGGCTCCTCCCTAGGCCCTCTCCTCTTGCTTCCTGTTTCCTGGGTTTTGTTCTGAGAAGCCTGGATGATTTCCCACCCCTTCCTTCTCCCACGCACACGCCTCTCTGACTGCTCCCCCTACACACACACACACACACACACACACACACACACACACACACAGCCCGCTTTCAGCCTGGCCCACACCCCAGGGCATGATGGGAACCACTCACCGATTTTTTATCGTCTTTCCACCAGCCAGAGTATACTTTCCTGGGCTTTCCCATCTCTTGGTCAGGAAAGCTGAGGGTGCCATAGCCATCTCGCTTCCCAAACTTCCAGTCTCCCTCATAGATGGCTCCTTTCTTCTTCCAGATCTGTGTTCCTTTTCCTGATGACACACGGATGGGCCGACACTGCAGACATGGCAGCCCTGAGGCTGGAGGGGCAGGTGCTGGGTCTGCCTTGGCCTCAGGGGCCCCTAGAAGACTTGGTGACCTTCTCAAGGGCTGAGCCAGGGTCTGTGCCTCCTCTCTAGACCCCCATCACCAGTGAAAACCCCAAGAAAGTTCCATTTCTCCAAATAGCAATTCTCCAGCCCTTTGCCCTGAAGCCACATTGACACAGCAACTCCCAAGTAGAAATCTGCCCCTTCTTTTTTTCGTAATAATAATGAGCTTCATCTCTTAATAATACCCAAAGTTTACACCAGATGGCTAGAGTTTCTAGCAAATGTTCTGCATATTTCTTCAGTTCTCAGAAACACACATGGAGACCTATGTCCTACCAGCCTCATCTGTGTCTTCCACTCCCAACTTCCAGATTGCCCTCCAACCACTATGTCCTCCATGGAACCACCAGATATGCTTCTGCCTCAGGGCCTTTGTACCTGCTTGTCCTTTGGCCTGGAATGTTCTTCTCCAAATATTCAGTCACTCCCTACCTCCTCCAAGTCTCTGTTCAAATTTATTTTCTCAATGAGGCCTGCCCTGACCATCCCATATAAAATCACAAGCCTATCCTACCCCCTTACCCTGCTCTGTTTCTTTCCATATTGCTTATCAACTCCTAACATATCAGATAATTCATTTCTTTATCATTTATTGTCTATTGTCTAGCTCTCCATGAGAAGTACACTCCATGAGGACACAGACTTTGGTCTATTTTGTTCACTGCTCTATTCCCACACTGAAGAACAGTGCCTGGCACGTTGCAGGTGACCGATACATGTTGAACAAAGACATTTGTTGAACAAAGGGATGAATAAAATATTTGTGGAGTACCTATATGGGCTAATTCATGTCTTGGTCCTTAGTAGCTTAGGAACAAATCCAACATTGTCCCTGTGAGCTTTTTAATCTAGGGCGAGTAACTTAACTCCCTGGGCCTCAGGCTCCTCATCTGTAAAACGGGGATGAGAATATCTCATGGGGTTGTACTGATCACTAAATTCATTAACATAAGGAAAACACTTAGAACAGTGCCTGCAAATACAAAAGATGTTACCAATTATTTGTGCCCTTGAGGTAGAGCTCTCACCCGGTTTTTCTACCTGTCCTTCTTTTAGTTTTGTTTCTTTGGGGGAACCAGCCCCTCCTGAGCTCTCAATCCTGAAGGTTTGCATGGAACTGGCTCTTCCCTCTGGCAACTCTAACCAACCAGCTCGGGCCACTGTGATTGGTTCAGTGAAGGGCATGTGATCCAAGTTGGTTCAATGAGACTGTTTGCTTCCGGGTTAAAGGCAAATTTATCCCTTCTTAGAAAGTTTTATATGGTTGGACCCCTGGTGTGCCCATTCTCTCTCCTTGCTCTCTCTGCTTTGGGCACACTGGCTTCCAGTCTGTTCTTTGAGTAAGACTTAATTACCACCCCCCCCAAATCCTTCCATTCTGATTCCACTATCTAGAAGACATGCCCTTCTGCCGAGCTAATCCTCATCCTGTGTGCTTAGCTCAAACATCACCTCTCTCTCTTCTCAGGGCCACTTTCACGTCTCCTCTCTGGTCCCCTTCATACCCTGATGCCACCACTTGGAGTGCTTCCGGATGAGGAAAGTTCTGAGTAGTGGTGATCCCTGCCAGGCTCAGCCCTCAAACACTCACAGACCCTTCTGCACAGACCCTGGGCTACACACTTGGTAGATGTCATCTCTTATCTTTACTAATAGCCATGTTCCCATTTTACAGAATGGGACACTGAGGCTCAGCATGGGGTAATTAGTCACTCAAGGTCATGGTTGGTGGAGCTGAGATTCTGACCCAGGATTGTGGACTCCAAAGTACTTAACTCAGGAAGGCAGGAGAAAAGAGTGGTTGAGAGCACAGGATCTGGAATTGTAAGACCTGAGTAAGAAGCCATACCATCATTTTTTAATCAAAACTTGTTTTTCTTGGGGTGCTTGGCTGGCTCAGTCAGAAGAGCACGTGACTCTTGATCCCAGGGTCATGAGTTCGAACTCCATGTTGGGTGTAGAAATTACTTAAATAAATAAAACTTTTTTTTAAGATTTCATTTTTAGGGGTGCCTGGGTGGCTCAGTTGGTTGGGCGACTGCCTTCGGCTCGGGTCATGATCCTGGGGTCCTGGGATCGAGCCCCGCATCGGGCTCCCTGCTCAGCGGGAAGCCTGCTTCTCCCTCTCCCACTCCCCCTGCTTGTGTTCCCTCTCTCACTGTCACTTTCTCTCTCTGTCAATTAAATAAATAAATAAAATCTTAAAAAAAAAAGATTTCATTTTTAAGGGGCACCTGGATGGTGGAGTCAGTTAAGTGTCCAACTCTTGATTTTGGCTCAGGTCATGATTTCAGGGCTGTGAGACACAGCCCCACATCAGCCTGCATCCAGGCTTAGTGCAGAGTCCACTTGAGATTCTCTCTCCCTCTCCCTCTGCCCCTCCCGCTCATGCTCTCCCTCTCTCACTCTCTGAAATAAAAAAAAAAAAAAAGATTTTACTTTTAAGTAATCTGCACCCAACATGGGGCTCAAACTTACAACCCCGAGATCAATAGTCATATGCTCAAGTGACTGAGCCAGCCAGGTGCCCCTAAATAAATAAAACTAAAAACAAAAACAGTAACAAAAAACACTTGTTTTTCTTCAGGGCTTAGTTTGTGTCACAAGGAACCCCATGTCATTTGCTGGTTAAAGTTGCAGTTAAAGTGGGACACCTGGGTGGCTCAGTCGGTTAACTGTCTGCCTTCGGCTCAGGTCATGATCCTAGAGTCCAGGAGTCTGCTTCTCCCTCTCCCCATGCCCTTCCCTCCTGCCTGTGCTCTCTCTCTCTTGCTGTCTCTCAGATAAATAAATAAAATCTTTAAAAAAAAAGTTGCAGTTAAAGCCCCAGCTAGTTGTGTGTGTGTGTGTGTGCGTGTCCTCCCTAACCCACTGCTGGTCAGACCCCCACGTCAGAGCCGTTTGAATCCCCATTGCGACCTGGGTTGGGGGGGCACCTGTTCCTCCTGCTAGCCAGCCACATGTTTAGCCCAGGTCTCAGAGCGTAGGACTGCAATGGAGTCCCTAGAACCCTGGCTGTGGTTACGGTTGGTATCTCAAGACCCCTTTGTCCCCTGCTGGTCCCTGAGGGCTTCGCTCATCTGATGTCAGGGCTGAGTTTGGTTCCAGAGCCTCGGCGAGTGGAGACCCCTGGCTGGCCCAGGTCAGTGGCATCCACCCCTTGAGGGAGCCTTGGGGACACATCTTACGTCCCCAGTGAGCTCTGCCAGCGACTTCCTTGGCCCCAGTCAGGTCCCAGTCACCACCGTCCAGACTCCACACTAGCCCCCCGGGCCCCTGAGTCCCCCACTCACCGTGCTTCATGTTGTCCTTCCACTCACCCACATAGCAGTCACCACTGACAGCGTACACCTGGTGCCTCAGGCCGTTCTTTTGGGCTTTCCGGTCCCACCCCTTCCACAGGGGCTCCGACTTCTGCAAGCACTTGGAGATGGGCATGTTGGCTGCTTCTGTGGGGCCCAGGGGTGCTGGTAAAGGGTTAGGGACATCAGGGGCTCAGTGTGCCCCTAGCAGTGCCAGGATCCTGGGGCTTCCTGGGGAGGCATTTGTCTGAGCCCAAATGACATGAGTCATGTATGTTCTGAGTCCCCAGGCAGATGAGCAAGCAGCCCTTTGAGGGTGACCCTTCTGTGCTGGACTGACCCTTGCCTGTCAGCTCCTTTGCATCTCTAGGGCCCCGCTGAGGTGGGTCTGATGACACAATTGCTTGGGAACCCAGGGAAACCAGTAGAGGAGGGGGTTTGTGATGGCACCAGAAAGAAGCTTCCCCCCACCAGTGGTTGACAGTCACATATTTAATAACCAGTATGACCAATCAGAGTGGATGCTGGCCCTAAGGCTAGAGTTTGGCCTGGAGGCCCCAGTGGTGAGCACTGGGATCCACTGCAGGAGATGTGCGGGGGGGGGGGGGGGGGGGGGGGG